AATATACCAAGTATATGAGGTATGTGTGGTATATATATATACATTCCTTCCCTCACGTTCTCTATATAAGTTCACACAATGAGTCATAAGTAATACTTGGGAGTAACCCAAAGTCGAATCCTCAGAGACTTGTGCTTTCAAAATTAAGTAGTGAAGTAAATGGTTCAAATTTGCAATTGTAGTTTATGCTAAAAATGGTGACAAAAGTTGTTATTTGGTGGTTCGATTATCAAGCAATTTTATAAAACATAACCTTTCTGCTTCCTACCTTAGATTTGGTGGAAAATATGGAAGATACTTTGGGGAAATTATGACAGCCACAATTTGGCTAAACTTTGGAATAAGAGTTCTACTCTCTCACGAACTGCTTTTGCTTGCTGTAGAAGCTAGGGTAACCTACAGTCATATTTCTACATGTGATTATAATCCTATAAAGTATTTATCAACTAATTTTAATTTATGGGTCAAAGGGCCTATGTATAAGACTGTGTCTTATGCGCTTATGTCTAAGTCACATTTCATATTGGTTTCCTACTATTTTACCTAACCCAACCTTCTTAGAGTTGGGTTTTAGTGCAATCAATTTCCTAGTAGTCAAATAGAAAAAATACGTAAAGATGACTTTTTATAAACCAACCTAAGATTGCGCCATGTGTAATCTAGGCAAATCTCGATGATGTTGAAAATCAAATCATTTTGGCTAACGCATTCCACAGAGAGGTTGATAAATAAATAAGTGCATAATTAAATGAAAGAAAACGCACAAAACATAAAAGAAGGAATTTCCATTGGTTTAAATGAATAACAACGGCGTACAAGGAGTTATAACTTAACTCTCTTCTCTTTCTAGTGCGAGGGGAGTGTAAACTCGCTTAAGAATTTTTAAAGAACATAATAGTTGAAAAGTGGAATTACAAACTGGAATTTAGAGCAATACAATAAGTAAAACCTAACTCTAAAGCTTATGAATGAAACTACAGTTATGAATGGAATAAATGAAGATGAAAATAGGATCGAAAGAGATGATTTCCTGTTGGGGGAGAGGCTCCCTTTTATAGACACTCAAGTTGGTCGAACTTCCCACCATTTTAGGAGGAAATGGGTTTAGATTCTCGAAACAAACCCTCCTTGACTTTGGGCACACGGTTTTGGCTTTATTTAAACATGTTGGAATTGACTTCATTGCCCTTCATTAAGTGAAACGCACGTTTTGGAGGTTTGACTATGCCAAAAAGCGCCAAGCGCTTTTCCTGCAAAACATAATTTTCTGATTTTTTTTAACTTTGACTGCGTTTTTCTCTCATTTTTCCTAAAGTACCATATATTGCAAATTATCCAGAAATGTTTCATGCATGTTATACTTAAAGAATATGTAAACTTTTTCAACTAATAATGATGGGAAAGGGTTAATTTTTATGGTCAAACAGGTCTACCAATACACATTTATGAAATAAAAAGTCAACCCTAACACACACCCAAACTTAATCATTTGCTTGTCCTCAAGAAAAAACAACAACAATCAAACACAATCAATGTAATGCCCTAGGATTTTTAACATTTCCAAACGGGACCGTAACTAAAACTACCTAAAAATTCCACTTAGGCAAGAGAATTAACTCCAACAACCAAGACTAAACAATAAAACCACCACGCTTACTCTACACTACTTTGATTTCAACACTCACGATAGCTTGAACAAACAAAACAACAACACTAAAGATTTAACCAAAACTAAAATCTTTTACAGATAATCCATTTAATACCAACCCCACGTTATCCAAACTTATCAAAGAAACCTTTACTAACCATAAACCATCCACTAGACGAATATTAATATCTCGAATGGCAACAAAGCAAAAGCTAATTTAATTTCAATATGACCGAATGTATTAACAGTTATTCTTAATATATTACAATCCCGCAGTTCGAAAAAAGCTAAACAAAACTAATGACCTCAAAGAGTAATGAACTGACAATCTTAATGTAACGCCCTAGGATTTTCATTATCTAGGAACGGGGACCGTTAGTAAAACCACCAAAAAAGTTATTTTTGTACAAGAGGGTAAAACTACTAACCACTCAAACTAAGCACAGTTCAGCCATTTTAATTGCTCGACTTAAACTTGTGAATCTCACACCTAACAGACAAACAAAACAACTTGTCCTCCATAGATAAGTGACACAATTCTCATCTACTTGAGTTAAAGCTAAATAAACTTGAGTAAATGGCAACAGCCCAACAACCTATTTGACAGTAACTTAACCAAGCAAAAAAAATTATAACAATCAACTAAAGGCCTATTCCACAACGTTCACAACAACTTAGCAACTAAAGAGTGTATCCAAGCTCCAACTTCTAAAGTTAACAAATTTTAAAATAGACAAGCTTAACGTACTTTTAAAGGGTCCAACGGTCTAATCTTTAAAGAGAAACCAAACTCAATAACAAGACAAGCTAAAGCTTTTGTTGACATCCTGAACTTTGCACAGCCAGTGTCCTACCAGAGTACATAACTGAAACAAATAAACTCATATCGACCTATCCTAAACCCAATGAAGCTAAATAGAAACTAGACATGATCTTTCTTCTCGAGTCTCCTCCGCACCATGACCATGATCGTAACCCGTATCCTCACTTGAAACAATAATTACAGAGGGGGATGAGTATACAAAATACTTCTTAAGTAGTCCTCTCTAACTACACACAAACAACACAGTCAACACACAACATTCGTTGCAAAATATTAAACTAGCATCCATGCATCAATAAATCACAACACTCATTAACCCACACATGTAATCAAAGTAACCCAAAGTGTATAAAATACTATATAAGTAGCTCTTTCTAACTATACACAAACAGCATGCTCGTAATCACAACTACCATCAAAATACGATAGCTAGTAATCATGCAACGGTAGGTCATAACGGTTATCAATACACATACACAAGCATACAAGGTGTCAAGACTCACGTAACTTTGACCACACGACCCGCTGATCTCTACCTCCTCCAAGCTACTTCTAATACATCACACCATGTTAGTCCTCCAAGTCTAACTCTTCGAATCATATCAGCCCTTTTGACCTTTATACCCGAGGCCTCGAACAATACATCGACCCTTGACCTTTTGTACCTAAGGCCTCAACGTCTACTGGGCATATTGGTTCTTGATCGCCACCACGTTAAGACCGAATACTACTCATCAAATAGACTTATCGTGCCGACCCCCGACCTTTTATACCGAGTGCCTAGACACTCATCTTTACCAAGACTGGCCTATCGACCCCCGACCTTTTGCATCCGGAGCCTGGACACTCAGTAATGACATAACCGCCTCACCTAATGCGCACGAGGCTATGAAACTTGTCTATCCACTTTTCATTACACGACATACCACACATTCGAATCATAGTCGTTTGCTAGGATTCTATCACATAATTCCCAAGTCACCCACAGTAAGGACTCCGAATATCCGAACGACTGATCTGCATTTTCACTTCAGACAAATCACAGAATAAAAAACAACTAGTTCGTTCCACCACTTCAGACAACTCCAACTAATCCCTCCAAGACGTCTACAAGTCATTCACATTTATAATCTCAACACAATTTTCCAGCATGTCTTTCATCGTACAGAGCAAAAGAAATAACCCAACAGCTTCCAATTAAGCAACATAAAACTAAATAATATAAAACTAACACATGCATTTCATCTCAAACATGCTTTCAAACGTCAAAGATTAATCACTTCCAACCATATAAATCAAAAACTTTCCAGGCATATCCAACAATCCAAAGCAATACATTTTCATAATGTATATAAAAAATAACAGCGACATGCAATCCAACAATACCCACTAGTAGTCCACAAACCACGCCTAACGATTTATAAATACATGAGCTACATGAACATAATAAAATTCAGCACGAAAGTATTCCAATCACACTCAATAACGCATGCACCTGCCCCTTGGTGCAACTTACACACAACCACGCCTCTAATTCTTGCGTCGATCTAACACAAAAGCATTAAAAACATAAAAACAGCAAGTTACAAATATGTTCTAGTCTTCAAAATCAATTCTAAGGGGGTTCAAAGGGTCTGTTACCACACAACTGACTTCGTTTAAGTGTGGGTAACATATATCTAACTCGAACGAGCGTTGGTAACGTAGATCGAGCTTCAAATCGGTGTGGGTAACACAAAACCAGCTTCGAACAAGGGTGGGTCAATACCAATAGACGTCGGAAGAGATAATCATCAGTGTTGGTTCGTTTGTAACCAAGAAATAATGGCATCACGCTACTGTTCGGGCTGCGAATTCTATTGGTTGGTTGCCACAGGTGTTGGTTCACGTAGACC